ATAAATCTCATACATTATTAATATGATGCTATATCCTTTACTTGAATATTATATTCAATTAATTTCTCTATCATAAAAGAAATATCTTAAACTATTTATACTAATTTACTTACTTTTCAAAAGAAAGAATAGATTTGCTTCTTCACTCCCTAATGTTCTTTTAAATTTTAAATAATTTTACAATTTGAATAATCTCTGATCTCTTCAAATAAAATCTCTTTTAACTATCCTCCTTTATCAATTCATTAATTCCACCTTTTACAAAGATATCTCTTTCATCTGACTCTTTTAATTACAATCACAATATATTCTTACCATATTATTATTTGATCATTGGACTCGTCCTTTTGATAAAGATTATATAAAAATTTAATTGATGTTTTCTTTTCATTTCTACATTCAATTTCATAGCAACTATCTTTCACTTCTTCTTCTCTTCTTACTAATTATATTATAGAAGATACTGTTTACTTTTCTAATTACTTCTTTTCAAATTATTTAATTCTTTTAGAAGAATACTAACTAATCATAATTTATTATATTTAGACTAACTAATCTTATTTTTAGAATTTCAAATCATTACTGATTTTGATTTTTTCTTTAGAGATTTTAAGCATACTAGTAATAATTTTAGTTTTTTTAGATTTTTATCATTCATAAATCATGTACATAAAATACTCAAACCTGAGTTCAACTAGCTTCTTTCTTACTTTATTATAGATCAGTTACTCATATACCTTTTAATATAACAAAAAGAAAGAGTTTATATCTTCTTGAAATCCTATAACTAATGCCCCTTCATTTGACCAAATTATAGACAAAAACTCTAATAATAATTATTTCATTTATTAACACTTCATTTGCACTATAAATAATAATAATATCAATCAATTATTCAAGTATACTAGGTGCACTTTATTTACTTTAAATATTTGAATTAGTATCTGCACCTTCACTATTTCTAAAGAAAAGTCTTCTAAGTAGATTTAGTCTGTAAAACAATTACATACACTCATACATCAATTGAAACAATCACTAATAGAAATATCTCTGGTTGCTTATTTTACCTACTATGCTTCTTATATTGCTCAATTGTCATCAGTTTTACTATTAATAAACCTCATTGATCTTATGATTTAAGCCTTACCATACTCACCTTTACTTAAATCTATTTAAACAGCCCTTATCAATAATGCTTTAATCAAATTTTATATAGATGGTTCACTCAAATTACCTAAGACTAATTCATGTAATATAAGCCTTAAATAGATCTGTATTGATGCTACTAACAATTATTAAGCTTCATTAGTTAATTGGCCTTCTTCTACATGTATTGAAATGTTTGCCTTTTTTACAGCTCTTATTGTCTCATTAAAGTCAACCAATGTTGACATTATCTCAGATAGTTAAGCAATAATTCAAGGCTATGATAAATATATTCTGCAGAATTATCTCTCATCTTATAAATTTGAAAAAATACCTAATCATGCTTTTTGCAATCTAATTAAATATATGGTAGATACACTTAACCTTCAAATTCACTTTCACAAAGTTAAGATACACTTTGAAGACTATTACAATAGAATTTCTGACTGTCTCGTTAAAGATAGCTGTGATACAACCTCTATACTTTCACTATTGAATAGTATTCTACTTTTTAAGCTTAATTTTTCTTTTAATAATACACCTATTGAAATATCTATTCATAGATTTTTCAAATAAATGTTCTCAACATATAACTTTGGTGATTTTTTTGATCTTAATAGAAATTGTCATCACAGATATCTCACAAGTAATCAATTTATTGATTGGTCTACTATCTGGTCTCTATTAAAGATAACACTGCAACTGGTTGCAACCGGTGATAAATAAGTATTATAGGGTTGTAACTAATTGCAACATTAATAAAAATTGAGTTGCAATTAGTTGTAACTGGTGACAAATAAGTATCACATAGTTGCAACTAGTTGCAGTGCCATCTTTAGTCTCTATTATCTCTAAACGTTTCATCTTTTACCACTTTCTTTGCCTTTTTAAAACTCAACATAGTTATTATCAAAAACTTTATTGATTAACTTTCAATAATTTTAAGACTCTTCTTATTATATCCTGACCTTTATGACTATTGGTATTGTATAAGTTATGGTATTATTACTGAAATATTATCATATCTTTAGAAATGTCCTGCTTACTCATCAAAATTACAAAATGAAGTTCAAGTAACAAAAAATGATTTACTAGAATGACTTATTAAGTTAGATAGTTTAATGTTTACTACTTATCTACCTGAGTTACTTATCACACTTGATGTTATCTTCACCTATCCTTCTTTCAATTCTGATGGTTATATAAATATTATTAGATCATTTATTTCCTCTTTACTAGTTGATGTTGTCTATAAAATCATTAAAAATAGAAAGCGTGTTTCTTTATTCTCACTCAATCTATCATAATTTTTATCAAAAATTGTTTGAAGACATTTAAAAATATCATTGTAATTTTATGATTGCTAAAGAATAGTCATTAGGTATTACCAAAGAAGACAAGCTTAAATGAGATACCTTTTCATTTTTACAACATAAAGAAATATTAGTTCTATCTTATTGATAGGAACTCTGAATACATTTGATGAATAAATTTAGCTACGCATTTTCAGATTTTAGATAGGCACTAACTCTTTTTTTTCCTTTTCTTGTTGATAACAATTTTCATTAAGTATACATTTAGTGAAATTATTGGAGAGAAAAGATAATTATCAGTTGATTCAAACAGATTTGTAATATAACTATGAGGGATAGCAAATATTTAGTCTAGATTATTTGATTTACTTTGTATTTCTTTTATATAAATTTAATAAAATTACTGATAGTATCACATTGTAAAAAAAATCAGCAATTATTTAAAAGTTAAAAATTAGTCTAAGTGACCTTTGATTCATATGTAAAGCAAAATATATTTATAGTTAATAAAAATTATAAGGATATTGATTTCATTGATAAATCTATCATCTGATAATGTATTTATATTTGCTAAAAATTCAGAACTTATTAATCAAAGAAGGTTGATGATATTTGTTTATACTGAAATTATACATTATATAAAACAAATTATTTATGGCAAGCTAACTTTTATTTTGAGAAAAATACAGATATCATTTATCTTACAAAGTTTGTATGAGAGCATAACCATTTATGTGATCTAAAAATTATCAAATTGGCATTAAAATATCTATGTCTTTCACAACTAATTATAGATAAAATTGAATACTATATCATAAATGAAAATCTAGAAGCTTAACAATAATATAAACTGCTTATTTAAAAATTTTCTTAACATATTATTGCAAAAAAGAATTTATATAATACAATTCAAAATTCAAAGGTATTAGAATTTATAATAAAATTAATATTATTATGATACTTTTGTGTTTACTAAAGCAATGAGAAGATAATTTAGATTATATTATTATATTACGATTAAAAGGGTTAGCTAATGAACTAATAGGATTATTTTGGATGACAAGCTAACAATATAATAATTTATGGCTCAAATTTCATGATGTCATTGTATATGATACCACCTTAAAAATAAATCAATATGAGATATTTTTAAGTTTATTTATTGCTGTAAATAATAATTACAAAATAAGAATAGATACGTAAGTATTAACTAAATATGAATATTAGACTTATTTTGATTAGATTCTCCAATGTATATTACAAGCATCTAACAACCCTTCACCTAAAATTTTATTTACTGATAGTAATCTGATTATAATAACAGTTATTCAGATAATTTATTTGTAAATATATTACTTATTATGCATATACCATTTTCTTGAAAATGTCAAAAGAAAGCTAAATCTAAGCTTTAGAGTAAAATGGTATTAATTTTTGTGACAGGTTTTTATATTATGAGAAATAGCTATAATACGAAGCAATTTGATATAAAATATCAAGAAATGTTGATCAGTTATAAGCTATATTATTTGTATCTTAAAAAACGACTTTATTTTAAATGAAAATCTTAAGCTCAATATTGAATTATAAAACTATTTACTATAAGGATAAAAAGTAATCAACGTGTAAAATTGATTAATGGTATTATAAAAAAAACTTGTTAATTGAGACATATTATTAAAAAAGTTAGTAAAGATATTAAGTACAAATTAAATAAGAAGTCTCAATATATCTGAATAAATGATTATTATAGAGTAAATCCATTAATTAGGCTTATAAAATGATTTTTAAAGAACTCAATTCTATATTATAAACGATTTTATTACCAATTTCTTTATTAATTTAAAGAATCCAAATAAACTAAACCTTACTTTATCAAAGTAATTTGATTTCAATTAATTAGGTTAAAGATGATGAAAATAATTTTAATGATATATTATTAGAACATTTACATGATATACTTCAAATTTGTTTACAGTATCTCCTTAATGATATATCTTACAATAATATTACTGAGCTTTGAAAAGTATTATATATTATATTAAAACTTCTAAAGCATATTATGTTATTATATTTTAAGATTTGACTTTACTTTGTATCTGTATATTTATTATAAATTAAGGAATAAAATATTACCATCAATTCAGAATGTTTATTCAGTCAGACAAAGCTATTTTTCATATTTCATATATTCATACATGTTGTTTTAATTCAAATTTGGATTCATCTACTAATTTAATAAGTTTTATTACAATTATAAATAGTAAAAGAAATTATACAGTGATATCATTGAATTATATAAATCAATTAAGAATAGATAATTATATAGTTTAACAATTAGAGAAAAGGTTAACAAAAAATTCAATATAGTTTTATGTAAAGATAGCGCTGCAACTGGTTGTAACTGGTGACAAATAAGCATCATAGGGTTGCAACTAGTTGCAACTGGTGACAAATAAATATCATATAGTTACAACTAGTTGCAGTGCTATCTTTAGTTCTATGATATTTATGGTTAAAATAAACATTCAAATCACCATTATGAAAAATGTTACAACTGAATTAATTGAAATTTTAATACAATTTATCATAAAATATTATAGAAATATCAGTTTAAGCATTGAAAATACTAATATAGGTAACAAATAAATATTGGTAATAACATGGAGTTATATTTTAAAAATACTAAAAATTACTTATTTTCAGATATCATATTATTACAAGATTCACAAAGATCTTCAATTTGAGATAATAATCAAACTTTGTCCATTTTACCTAAAATATCAAATCCTGAATATGCTAAACTAAAAGGTTATCTCCCAAAATAATATAAATTGATAGTAGAAAATAATTATATTATATTAAGTAAATCAGATGATATAATAATACAAAAAATGTATAGATATTGCTTTGAAAAAAGTCATAATATTTGAGAATATTAAAGAACTATCTGAAATAAATACTTAAGATAGGGTTAGTTATATATTAGTCTAGTTTTTAGTTTTGTTATAGATGGGTAAGTGGTTAAATTGTGTAATCAATAGTTCAAAATAAATAAAAATGTAATTTGTTATCAATTTCTTTTATTAAATATATTAATTGCATTACAAAGATTTTTACATAGAGTTATAATAAAAAATTTTGATAATATAAAAGTCTTTAACCAAAATAAAAATTTATTGCACAAATTCAGTTTATAAATAAATATATTAAAATTTTATTTTTTTTAATTATTTAAATAATTAGATTATTAAATAATAAAAAAATAATTATTAATAATAAAGAAATATTATATTAATTATTTAAATTTAAATATTTCATAATTAAAGAGAAAGTATTAAAAAAAAAATTATTTTAATTATAATTTTTTTAAAAAATATGTTTTATATAGTTTTTTCTTTTTATTATAAATTTTTATTTAAATAATTTATGTTATATAAAAAATTAATACTAATTAAAATTAATTTTAATTTAATCATAATATAGTAATTTATTTAATATTTTGCAATTTAAATATATATCTTATTTAATATTTATTAATTAATTTTAAAATTAATATTATATTTACTTATTATTATTACAATTTTATAATAAAAGTAAATGTAAAATATGAGTTTTAAAATTTATATAAAAATTGTAAAAATTGTTATTAAAAGAATTTATTTTAATATTTAATTATTTAAATATTATTTATATACTGTATATATATAAGTTATAACTCTTTATTTATAAAATTAGTATATTATTACTGTATAGTCCCGAAAATAAGCACTCTGTAACATGCTCCTTTTATAGTAATTAATTTATTTATCACATGGAATTTATTATATTATTAGTCACGTATATACTGATAAATTCATATATATCACGTGATGCTTATTTTTAGGACTATACAGTAGTTAAAATATATTAATTTTAAACTTTTTAGAGTAATGATTAAGTAATAATGAAGCTTAAAAAAGCATTAATAATTATAATTTAATAATATTTTAAGATTTATATTCTTAATAATTTAATAACATTTAAAATAAAAATTTTAATCATATAATCCTATACTTAGGATTATCTGAAAATAATAAAATTGCTAAATTTAAGACGTAATAAATTTATAAATATGAATTCAAGTTTTATTAAAAATAATTTAAATAAACTCAAAAAAAAAAGAAGGGTCACAAAAAAAAAGTTAGATATAGAATTAGTTTGTATTTAATGATAGATAGAATTACTATATGTCAAGTTTGAGGTTATTGCAAGTGAAATATATGATAAAAAATATCAGCATAGAAATTCAATAGATATTTTAATATACCATTTAAATAATAAATATCAAATAACTAAAAAATAATTAAGTAAAACTATGTAATAAGAAATAAATTAAATAAATAGTAATTAATTATTATATATTCTTAGCCTTAAGAATCTTATGAGTTAGAATTATATTATATAAGAAGTCTCATCAAATTGAACTTTATAATTTATTAATTAATTGAATAATTTTTGATACTTAATCACTTGATATTTTAAATATTAAATTAATTAAGCAAGCTATTCAATATACTTATAATTATACATTTCTTTTAATTTAAAAATTTATTGAAAATAATGCAATTTTAGTTTAACTACTGATATGTGGATTAGTAGAAATAGATTGGAATTTTTAGATGTTACTTGTTTTTTCTTAGATAAAAATTTTACTATTTATAAAATTATTCTTATATTAAATATATTAGATATCCTTATAATACATAAAATATATCTAATGCATTATTTATTATTTTAGATAAGTGAAATTTAAGAAATATAACAAATATAATAGTAACTAATAATGAGGAAAATATAAAAAAAAATAATAAAAGAAATGAATAAAATTGCTTTAAATATAAATTAATAACTATATTATTAATTCAATGCTTAATCTATCAAACTTAAGATAATGATAACTTAATAATAAAAAGTAATATGCGAGAAACTACTAAGTTACTATAGAATAAGTTCTATCACAATTAACCTTAGATTTATAATTTAGATTAGTAAATAACTTTAATAATTAAGAATAATAAATATAATTTCATGTTAAAGGATTTTAATATATGTATAGTTTATAAAAAAATTCTTTTATTATAGAGATTATATTCTTAGCAATCCTTAATCTTGAATTTTAAGTCTTTAACTTGAACTATTAAGTTATCATTATTATCACTATTCTTTTATAAGAATAATTTTCTATCTTATTTATACAAAAATACAATTATAAGAAAATTACTATCTAATGCTAAACTATTAGAAAGGTTATTTTCTTATACAGGAAATTTACTTTTAGCAAAAAGATTTAAAATGAATTTAGAACTTTTTTGACATATAATATTTTTAAAAAGAAATGTAATTAAAGTTAAAAGTATTTATGAATAATTATTTTTATAATAAAATTAATTATTTGTATAATTATTATAAATAAAATACAGGTTTAAATGGGCATCTTCTAAAGAAAAGAAGTAAAAGGAATGTTAATGTTCAAAGAAAAAATAAGTATAATTTTTCACATCAATTTACTTTTATAGTTCAGTTGAAATCTAGGTCTAGAAAGATGTTTTCTAAAGAAAAGAAGCAAAGGAATGTTAATGATATTTTAAAGTCAAAGAAAAAATAAAAACAATCTCTCACACCAATTTACCTTTATAGTTTAAGCTAAAATCTAAATTTAGAAGGCATTCTTTAAAAAAAGAAGCAAAAGAATATTAATGGTATTTTAAAGTCAAAAAAAAAACCTATATCTAACTTACTTTCATAACTCAAGTTAAAATTCAGGTCCAAGTAGCATTATTTAAAGAAAAAAAGAAAAAGAAATATTAATAATATTTTAAAGTCAAAAAAAAAAAAACAATTATTCATACTAACTTACTTTCATAACTAAAGCTAAAATCCAAATTCAAGAAAGCATTGTCTAAAGAAAAGAAGTAAAAGAAATATTAATGGTATTTTAATGATAAAGAAAAAATTAAAATAATCTTTTATTCTAACTTATCTTTATAATATAAATTGAAATCTAAGTCTAAAAGGTATTCTCTAAAGAAAAGAAGGAAAAGAAATATTAATGATATTCTAAAGTCAAGAAAAATAAAAAAAACCTATACTTAACTTACCTTTATAATCTAAGCTAAAATTCAGTTTCAAATAGCATTCTTTAAAAAAAAAAGTAAAAAAAATATTAATAACATTTTAAAGTTAAAAAAAAAATAAATATAATCTTACACTAACTTACCTTTATAGTTTAAACTGAAATTTAGGTCTAGAGAAGTGTTTTTTAAAGAAAAGAAGTAAAAGAAATATTAATGACATTCTCAATAATAAAGAACAACAAAAACCACTCTTTCTAATTTATTTTCATAACTCAAGTTAAAATCTAGGTTATAAAATAACTGATTATCTGATCTATCTGATCATTCATATAATATTTAATTAATCTAATATTATTTGATAGATCTATCTGAATTATTTGCAATCTATTCATTCATAATCTGAATGATCCATTTTTTGATCAAATCAGATGATGAAATAAACAGATTTTACTAAAACAAATTTCTACTTTTAAGTATATAATTTATATGAATAAATTATTATATTGTTTTATATATATTGGTTTCATTTTTATTATATAATTTGGTAACTTAGATTTTTTAAGATATAAAAACCTATTGTTATTTATTAATAGGTAAAGTTGTTTATCTAAATTCATTTAAATAAAGTAAAATATTTAAACCTTAAGTTTTACTAATTTTTACTAAGATTTTGATATAATTCATTATTTTTATAAGTTTTGATATAATTTACCTTTTACTGTGTTTTGCATATTTTTTAATAAGGTTTACTAAATTTACTATTTAAACAATTTAAATACTTATAAGTTTTATTTTATAATATTAAGTGTATTATTTAAATTTATCTATTATTTATTTAAATTTTTAAAAATATTTTAATATAAAAATTATATAAAATATATAAACTTATTATAAAAGTTAATGTAATATATAAATACTTAAACAAAATCTTTTTAAAAAAAAGTTAAATTAATAAAATTATATAAAATATAATATGTTAGATTTTAATATATTAGATTTATATATAAATTAAATTAGAATTTATCACTAAATAGTCTGATAACTTAGAAGTTTTTTATACTAAAAATGTTATTTATTATCCTTTTTTACAATTGACTTCTTATATAATTACTCCTTTTTATTAGCATATTTATTAGGCTAAAGTTAATTATAAACTTATTAAAAATCCTTTCTATAATCACATTATATAACATTTTTATAATTACACCAATTTAAATCAGTTATAAAGAATTTTAACTTTTATTATTAATATTATTTATAATTGAATATTCGATATTATTTTTTAAATTAAATTTCTATAATATTTTTATGTACAATTCTAGAAATAATGAGCTTTATTTTCAGCTAAATTAAAATTAAATTAGGTTAACTTCATAATTCTGGCTAGAATTAAGTGATGCAATGATTTAATTCTCAAACTTTTCTACACCCGTTCTTACCTTACCTTATACCTTTCTTTTCTTTCTTTTTTTAATACTTTCCTTTCGCTTCTCATTTTTATAATTCTATTGTCATTATTATTAACTTATTCATTGTTCTTCTTCAATAGTAGAGAAAGCATTAATAGATATGCAAGATTATTTAAAAGATTTGTATTATTTTTTACATTAGATGTTTGAAACTTCCCATTTTAACTTCATTTCCAACAAACTTTTATCAATTTTTATTACATAATGGATGTTCCATAATTAGTTAGTTCTCGAATAAATTATTAAGACAATATCTGATCCAACCTATTTTATTTCTGCTGCGGACATAGAATACAGTATGTGATTTTCAATACTATTTCACCATAAGCGCCTCGTAAATTTTTTGTGTTATGTTCTTCATCCGTTAATTAAAGACATGAAGAATAATGTTGAAACGAGTTGCATGAAAAGCAGAACAATTCATGGAGCGTCCGAAGCGTTCAAATTAGTTGATAAATTATTGTATCTAACTGTAATACAATACTTATCGGTAGATCACGTGTGGGACAGACATCATACATTAGAATTTGGTCCATTCACTATAAAAATGGTCAAAATTTAAATCTTCAAAAGTTTTTGAACTACGCTGTAAATTTAAATACTTCAAATTCTTCCCTGAGAAAATGATCAAATTTTGTCTCAATAATTATGAAACATGCAATTTATCTATGCCGTTTATTCTCCTCCAAAGCTTGCTACAGGTTCATAATCCAGCAATGGTTTTACTTGGAAGATTATTTGAAATTGGGCAACGTCCGGTCACTTGGTAAGAGTTCGAAAAATTTGTTCCAAGTTTGAATCTGTTAAAAAATTATGCTAATGTTGAGAAAAAGAAAGCCCATCATGCTTTTTACAATTCGTTGTATTGCTATGAATCTTCTAAAAAATAAAAAAGGTAAGTATAGTGGGATAACAAATTTAGACGGATGGGCGTCACCAGGTGTTCGTACTAAAACAATGGGATTTGAATAATATTGGAAGATTCCTGTATCCATCATTTAAGCTTATTATTCTTACCACGAAATAATTCTCACCAGAATTTGCTTTTCATAGGATGACGTTAAAATTGTTCAGATCTTCTGGACGCAATCATAGTTTTACCATCATCGTTATCACCTGATAGTGTATTAGCCAAGAAGCAAAAATATTGATATCATTTTTCACGGAAGTGCAAGTAGTACTGAGGATTACTGAAAAAGACAGACACTTTAATAATCCTTGATCGCAATGAAAAAAAAAGGTATGTAATACAGATATTTAGCTATGTTAAATTTAAACTTAATTATTGCTAGATCGATATATTGTATTAACGAATCCATATTGGCATTGTAGTGCGTTACAGGAAAGGGAATTAAATGGGCTAATAACGTAGTAATTTTTGATCAAAACATTGTAAGATAGTGAGATTGTGAATTTCTTTTCGTTAAAATATTTTAAATACTCGGAAATGATGTCTTTTCGTTTAATGAATGGAATGGATAGTAATTTGTTTTTTCTTCCAAAACATGAAAGTCATGTACTCCATAAACTAGGAACATTTTCAATTCGATATTGCTTATACATTGCCAAATTCTGGTTCTTCTCTTCCTCAATCACAATAATATTATGTTAGCCTCCGGCAATTGTAATTTCATGCGCAAATTAGTTACGTTTCCGTTAAATTTCTTACTTTCATCAATTGTTGTTATTTGCTTGTTTCGGTAATGGAGGTTGTTCTGTCATTAAAGAACATAATGAATGAAACATTACCGCCAAAGTCTGGTTAGATTTGTTAATCTTATTAAAATAAAAACGTAAAAAAATAATATGTATACCTCATCCGAACAAAGAATGTTCTTGAGACTTTCCTAATCATTTTGAATATGTGTCATACTATAATTTCGGCATCTATGGCCGTTTGATCGTTTGTTGAAGGGAATTAAAGGTAATATACGATATGAAACGGATGATAAATTTCTAAAAGTATGATTTAAAACTTGATTAACAGGTTTCTTTCTTGCGGTTTAAAAATTACATAATCTTTTTGTTACATCTCGTGCATACATCATCAATGTTATGGCTCTCTTGACATCACGTAAGCTAGCACTTTATGGTTACGAATGAATTAGATAATTCTCTTATCAATTTCCCAATCATTATTCACCTAGAGATATTGCTATTGAATAAAATTATTAATTATTTGTCCGACTCATCCTTTAAAATACGAATAAATTCGATAACAAATCCTCAGAATCACATGGAATGTTGGAAAAAATATATGCAACTTTATCTAGTCGTTCTTGAGGAATTATTGAGAAGTGATCAAGGGATAGATCTATTATTTCTAAGGGTCTCATATCCACCATTAAATCGAGTTCTACATTGCAATTTGTGCTATAAATTCTACTTTATTTTCAGCAGCATTTTCCTGGAGACAAGTTTACAAATATATTTCGAAAAGCTTGAGACTGATTGAACTTATAGCACTATATATCGATTTCTCATTGTTAGCCTTGTCTATATTTGCCTAATCAGAACTATGCATTTACTGTTAATAAATCTTGAGGTCGAACAAAATCTTTCATAAAACTATAAAAGTATATCGGATTGAAATCGAAAATTATCATAGCTCTCTATCTCTCACAATTCCATCCCGAGAGATCACCTCACTTGAATGTTTATTATTGACGGCTGCTGCGTCAAAATGGTTGAATAATTCTTACAAGAAAAATAAGTAATCTTCATGTTAAAATTAATGAAAAAATGGTTACAATTAAGGTGAAAAAAAAAAACTTACAAATCGGAATTTGATCATTAATACTTTTTGAGCAACTCTAAAAACAAACTTTCGAATTCGTTACATTTAAAATGCACTAATAATTTGTTGCGGCAAAGGTTGAGTTTCTGAGTTTGGAAAAGCATACATTCAAAAAAAAAAACTAAGACACCTTAATTTGAAGCATATTGATTATTTGTACTCGGATTGATCAAAAAAATAGCGTAAATTAATACACACTGTCCTTTTTTATTATCAGAAAAGACGTCATTACCGTTCCATTTCTCGAAAATATTTTGATCTGTCCATTTGTTGCTTGGGACTTTAAGTAATAATAAAGCATGATCCCGGAAAACACTAGAAACATCACTTCGATAACCTTGAGGTAGTCCCTCCATTAAAATAAGCGTTTAGAGAAATAGCTTCTCCTTCGTATTATAATAAATAAACTGTAATGCTCAACATTATTTTCGAAATCAAATATTTTGGTGATATGTAATGTGATTTACTACTTTATTGCAATTTATCACATGCACGTGCACTGTCGGGATTTATCGTGGTGTAATATTGTATTGGATATTTGCAAAATTCACCAATCAATGCATCAGCATAAAAAATATCAGGTAAGATTAAAAAATATATTTAATAATAACATTTATAATTTGAACTACCGTCGTTATTTGCGGGCAATTTTTTAATAATATTATGGAAAGTAGTTGTTCTTCAAATTAGCTTTATCTCTTGTAAAGCTGAATAAACGAGTGTTTTCAATTATTTGTAAATTACATTTATATAATTTTCAACTTCTTTAAATAAATAAAGCTTTTGATTACTAAAAGCAATTATAGTAAAATATGTTTAAAAACTTAAATTCTTGAAATAGAAAAATAGAAAAAAATAGAATTTTATTATATTTTTAATTATTAAATATTTTATATAGTTAAATAAAAATTATTTTATACATTTTATACTAATTTTATAGTAATTCACACCCAACCCTATTAATCCTAAATAAATCTAGCGTGTATTTTTAAAATCGGCCTTCGTGTGTGGTTTCAATGTTGAATAGTTGCCCGTGTTCACCCTACAATCCCTCCAAGGTATTTGCAGTTAAAACATCAAACCTTTCAAACCAAATCTGTGTCAGAGAGGCCGTTAAATAATAATATATAATATATGTATGTGTGGGGACCCCGTCAGCGTCTTAGATATGGAGAGAAGATTGTCAACTGTATCATTCGACAATGAATGTGCATAAAAGAACGATAAAAAAACGCATCAAATAAATGTGCTGATCAAACTATCGCAAATGAATGTAAATTTATAGAAAAATGAGAATTTTGTCGGATTATGGGAATCTAAATCACGTGCTTGCGGATCAATCATGTGATTTGAAGATATTTTTAGTTAATAAATCAAAGTCCACGTGATTTATTTATCGCGGTTTTTTTTTTAAAGTTTATCGCGTCACAATACAATTTACATTCTTATTCTCATTGGTATTTTTTTTTTCTTGTTCATTTCGTTTAGCAAAAAGTATGGAAGACGAATCATTCAAAAATGATATTCTTTTAAAAAAAAATATGTTCCAACTAAAGTTGCGTGGCAAAACCCAAATCCCTCACTTTTCTAGTAAGTTTGAAACTATTCTCATTTTCTTAAAAAATAGATTCCTGTTATGGTACATTCTAAATTTTTCTCTTTAGCTGATTTGACTTTTGAGGAACTGAAAGAACATCATGAATGTCCATATGATCAGGTATAATGAATTTAACCTTCTTTTAACATATAATATCCCACATGCTAATTTTACTTCATTTTAGGGTGGTTACTTTATCATAAACGGTTCCGAAAAAGTTCTAATAGCTCAAGAAAGATTAGCCTACAACTACGTCTATATCTTTAAATATGCTTCTCCGTCGACTACCTTGTATAGCGCGGAATTTCGTAGTTCTACCGAACACATGTCAAAGTAAGAACTGTAAACTTGAAATTGGTTACGAAAACTTTTGCCGAAGACGTAAGTTCTTATAAAATTTAATGATCATTAATTTATTAACTCTGTATCATTGTAAAATATGTATTCAACCTTTTAATTAATTATTAGAAAGCTGAATCATCCATACACGTCGCTTTGCCTTTTATTAAAAAGGATATTCCAATTAGAGTTTTATTTCTTGCCTCAACGATGAGAACTTCATCGATTGTATTTTGTCTTGATCCTCACGACCCTGAAATACTCAAAATTGTACTATATTGCATTGACTAAAAACGTGCAATTCGGTCGCAAAATGTACTGTACTTGTTTTACTTTCAATTCTCATAAAAAAATCCAACAAACATTTATTTCATTAATTTTCTAATATTGATTTATTTTTTTTAAAAAAAAGTTCGCTCTAGTTTTATTGCGCGCAGAGGAAATACATCTAACGCTCTCTTTATATCTTATCGTTATTAATTAATCAAATAGGAGATAGCACAGGAGGAAGACCAAAGTTTATGGGAGGCATTAGTATTAGAGCGTTACATCTAACATATTGATGCTGAAGAGGAAGAGTCTACCATGATATGTATCTCTCCGGATGAATTATATGAGTCGAGATTGTATAATTTACGTAAACTTGAAGGTTTAAGACCAAGAAGGAAAAGACGATCGGTCCATGAACGTCTAATTAATTTACCAACTTATCCAAATAAGTGGACCCATTGTGAAATTCATCCAAGTATGATTTTGGGTATTTCCGCCAGTCTAATTCCATTTTCTGATCATAATCAAGTAAGATAATACACAAATTAAAATAAAATAATGATGATTGTTGAAAAATTTATTAAAGATATTCAATATTTCATAATTATTCTCCTCGAAATACCTACCAATCCTCTATGAGTAAGCAGGCAATGGGAATTTACTCGACTAATTTTCGATTACGAATGGATGTATTGGCCAATTTGTTGTATTATCCTCAGAAGCATCTTGTAACCACAAAAGTTATGGAATACTTCAATTCAGAGAATTACCTGCTGGGATCAATGTTATCGTAGTTCTGTGTTATGGAGGGTACAATCAAGAAGATTCCTTGATTATAAACCAAAGTAGCTTTGACCGGGGATTGTTTAGAAGTTTTACTTATCGACGTTATCTTGATCAAGAAAAAGTGGTACAGTAATTTTTTTAGATTACAATTTAAGATTTATTAATATATTTGAAACGTTTTTTTTAAAAAAAAATATATATATATAAAGGGCGTTTTGAACATGGAAGATATAATCAAGCCAAATCCTTATATGAACCTTGGATTAAACGTGGAAATTATGAGAAACTTGATGAATGATATTCTTATAGGAAAGGTGTCTACACTTTCACCTGAAGATGACTGCTTGGCCAACGAAAAGAATCTTATGTATATAGAGATGATTCTACAACATTAAGATCTACTTAACATGGATTCGTTGATCAAGTACTTGTTACCACAAACCAAGACGGAGCTAAATTGATGAAAGTTGGAGTTAGAAATACGTGAATTCCTGAAATTAGAGATAAATTCGCAAGTCGTCATGGTCAAAAATGAACCAATGGAATCAATTATCGTCAAGAGTATATGTCATTCACTGCTGACGGTATTACACCAGATATTATCATAATCCACATGCTATTCCTAGCCGTTTGACAATCGGACATTTAATTGAATGTTTAATGGGAAAGGTATAGTAAAAAGATACGTTTTAAAACCATACAGTATACGTGCTTAATTCTGACTTGCGATTGTATACACTTGTTCATAAAGCTTCGGGTAGTGAAGGTGATGCTACAGCTTTTTCGGAATTTACAGTAGAATCCATTTCGCGAAAACTTGGTTCTTTTGGATTCCACCGTCGTGGATTGGAAGTTATGTATAATGGTCATACTGGAAGTAAATTATCCGCACAAATTTTCATTGGACCGACTAATTATCAACGGTTAAAACATATGGTTCAAAATAAAATTCAGTAAGTCTTTTCCATATAGTATACAATTAATTAATTTAGAATTGCACTAAATATAAATTGAATCTATATAGTTCACGCGGAAGGGGTCCAGTTAATATATTAACCAGACAACCAGTTGAGGGACGTAGTCGTGAAGGAGGATTAAGATTTGGTGAAATGGAACGATATTGTATGATTTCTCACGGAACAGCCTTATTTTTGAAGGTATTTGTATTATATGAATTTCAAATATCTTTTAGATTTATTGCTTCTTACGATATTTTCATTTTTTTTAAAAAAAAAAAAAAATGTTTATTATAGGAACGACTTAATGATGTCGCAGATGCTTTGTGGACGCATAGCATAAGTTTCGAAAAAAGTTTATATTTGTAAAATTTGCAACAACACCACACAGGTCTAGGTATATTATTGTTTTTATTTTTTTGTATTTAGGTAGTAAATTTATTTTATTACTTTTTCTTTTATAGATTTCTCAAGTACAATTTCCATATGCGTGTAAAATACAAGAGCTAATGTCCATGAATATCTCTCCAAGATTAATGTTTTCAAAATGATTATGATGAGTTTATGGCTTGTTAATTCTATATTTTTAATTTGTAAGCTTATTGCTAGGTTATTTTGATTATGTAGAATATATTAGTATAATTTTGAAGCATTATTTTAGCTGTTTTGTTTGATGTAAAATAAAATTTTATCAACCGAATTATCCGTTTATTGAGCGGAATCTTAACTCTTTCATTGATATCCGATGAGATATTTATTTTTAATGGTTAACATTTGCCATCATCAACGTCGAATCCAAAATATAAAATAAAATTCATCCCCGCTTGTCGAAATAGCTTTAGTTTGATTTATCATCGTATGGGAAGATTGCTAAGGCAATAAAAAAATCGAGATTTTGCTAAAAAATTCCCAGAGCCTGATTTTACCCATTTTTCAAAATTTCTAATGAAATATAAACCTTGATCATATATGATAAACTTGTAAAATGGTAAGGTATATGATCAATTTTGATATCAGATTAAGCATCGCATTTCGCATACCAAAAATTATAGCTTACTCTACAGTATTTTACAACATAGATTTGCCATCGATGATATATCAGATATACCAAAAGAGAGGCAATTTAATTGTATTAATTGTTCCAAAGCGATGTAAAAAAGTTATCGTCGATTTCTTTCCTCCTTATCTGAGTTAATGCATCGCGCCATGTTTATTATCCAAATTTCAATGTTATCCTGTTAGAAAGCACTTATTAACAATGAGGGATTTCATGTTGAATTTAGCAAGTTTGCTTCATCTCCTTAGTTGGCACCCTTACATAAAGCGAAGACAGTTCGTGTCATAAATGTAAGAATCAATGTTGGAATCGAACCAACCAGAAAACCAGAAAATACTAGAAATTCTGTACCATAATTGATTGGATAAAAAACTGAACGAGACGCCACTGCTTTTCATTCATAGTAAGAGAAATGAGAACGCCTCTATCCTTTTTCGGACTGTACAAAATAGAAGGATTAACTCTTTATGAGGAAAGTTTCAGACTCGGAGAGGCTCGGTGTCTTTATATACAATGTCATCACCCCTTCCTCCGGCTTACGCTCGATTATATTGAGCATTTTGAAAATAATATCTCAAGGAAAAAAGGAAAAAATTGCAAAGGTTTTTATCGTAACCCCAAAAGTAAATTTAGGGCGGAGTAGTTTTTCGGCATTACGGCATTAATAAATTAGTCATGTGACGAATAAGGAGCACCGAAAAAAATTCAAAAATTTTTAAAAAAAAAATTAAATTTCCTAATAAGTATATATTAACTATCTTCGTAATTAAAAAAAAGCTCATTCAAAACAATGACCTCGTGTGTTTTTCTCCTTACAATTAAATATTCATATGCTGTTTTACTGTGACATTTAATTTTCCTGAACCTTTTTATTGATGATTTACTAAAACGAAATCATTCTGCAGTCGAAGGTGATTATTTTAATAATTGCTAAATGGGATGAAACCAAAAAAATTATTAATTAACAGAACTTACAGCATATTTTCTATTATAAAAGAAACAGCAAAGAATCTACATTTTTTTCCACGTACTCTCCTAAAGGTTTTCAAATTACAAACAACTTTCTATTTTTACTAGAACTTTTCAACGCACTCTTCATGCTTTTGATGAGGAACTTGTTGTATTATTAGTGGTTTTCTATTATGGTTACGAGTTCATCAATACTTGCGAAATATTGCTTGACCTACAGGTTTGATATACTTGGGAAATTCATTCTATACCTCAGTGTTATTACGTATTGATAAGAAATTATCTTTATGAGATCGTTCTTTTAATACATTGACTCTTAAGATCTGAATCACAACTGCCTAAGCACGAATTTCTTATTCGTTCGATAAATACTAAGATTTTAATTCTATCAGTTTTTTTCTTTAATCAGTCTAATACGGCAGATAGTGGGGTCTTTAATGTTCAAATCATCACATTCAGGTAATGCGAATACATGTAATTTAACAATCATTTATGAGAATTACTTTTTATTTACTTTTATGTTTTATTTCTCCTTTAACGATGTCTAGGCGAGTGCTAAAGGGCCATAGTATAGGTTGAATAATCATCGATTTCCTTTATTTTCTGTTTATCTGGTTGTGTTCCAATTCTTTCATAAACTGCTTTTGTTTAATGAAGTGGCTAGTAAAAAAGTTTTAGCTTAAAAGGAGAAGCATTTTCTGGTGGTATCCTTTAGTATAAAACTAAGAGCGACGGTTTGGTATTTGGATACAGATGCTCCCTAGGGTTTGCCTATCCATTAACTATGAAGTGTTTGCCTTACAGGTAAAGTTTTTTCGAGAAATTCGTCTCTTCTCACATGTATTCTTGAGGAAGCTCAATTCCCATTGTATACATTAGTAGTTTTTATTTTTATTGTTGACTTAATCCTTCCAATACTTTCCTCTAACTTCTTTCCTTTTGTAGGTTCAAAAGTTTGCAAAGATAAAGTTATATCATCATCAGCCTTACTTGTCTAAGAGAATGCTTTTGAATTGTCATCAAAAAGAAATCATTATCTCAAAGTATTTTTCTTAATACATAAAAAAAATAGTCCTAAACAATAGAAATGATTTGTGATAAAACTTTTCTTAAACTACAATCCTCTGCCTCTAATTATTTGTAAATAAAGCTTATTAATTTATTGATCTTAGATATTAATCAGATCATCTAATGAAAAAGGACTGAACAATACTTTAAGAATATTAATTAATTTCTTTTGAACAAAGATTGATATCTCTAAAAATTATTACTTGATATGCCTAATAATATATTGAATTAGGATTATTTATTTCTTTACTTAAACATTTTTGATTAAGAGTTTGTTTTATCGAGTTCTGACTATTTTAGTAGAAATGTTATAGTAATAACAAATTTTTTTTTTTAATATATGCTTTAAAATTAACAAATTATGATAATGACAATTCTGTTAATTATTTTTAAATAAGAAATTTTTGAGAAGGCTTTAAAATAGATGATTTTTTTAGTTTTATTTTTTTTTTTAAAAAAAAAAAAAATGCAGAATTCTATCAGCTAATAAGTTAAAAAGTATTTATTTGAAATTTTTTAAGTAAAATTCTTAAAACAAATTTCATCAGATTTTAATTCATATATAGAAGAATTTTATAATTTCATCAAATCAGAATTAGATATTAAAACTTTAATATAAAAAAGTTGACAAAAGTATGTCATTTGATTTAGATTATAAAATAACCTTAGAATTAAAGATTCTTGAAATATTAACTGATTATATAATTTATTTAATTATAATTATGAATAATAAATAATATAATGATAAATATGAAAAATAGCGCTTCATTCAGGTAACTAAGTTAGATATGTAATACAAATCTAGAAAAAAGAAAATTTTCATTAAAAAATCTTTTTATTCATTAGAAAAATATAAAATTTCACTAGTAAAACATACCTTATAATACAATTCAGATTTGGTTATTTAATATTAAAAACTAATAATAAATCTTAGGAATATAATCAAAGAAGTAAATTCTCTATTATGATTAAATAAAAATTCAAAAATAATTATATATAAATAACTTAATAAAGTCTGTGGTAATTCTCATAAGAAAAACATTTAAATGAATTAAATGTCAATTGTTAAAATGAAAAATAAAATATATATATACACTGTATATATATTTCAAAATTTAAACATTTAAATAAATAATTACCATAATTAAAACATTGTCAATTAAATTATTTTTGATATTATCCTAAAAAGGAAAAGAAAATTGAATAAGGTTTATAATAATAAAATAAATGAATTAAAATTAACTCACCTTTGCCTATATTTCATTTTGATTAAATTAAATCAAAAAAATTAGTAAAAAAATTGTCATAATTAGAACTTTAAAGAATAAAAAATTTCTTACAAATTATAGTTGCGAGGCAAAACCCTAAACCCATTTTAGCAAAAGTCGAAACTTTTCAGAATTTATTTTGACAGTTTCGACAGGTTTTGACGGGTTTTGACGGGTTTCGATGGTTTCGACGGATTTCGACGGGTTTCGATGGGTTTCGATGAGTCTAAAAGTTTTGACGGTTTTGATAACAACTTTGCGAATTCTAATTAAATTCGACGGATTTTAACAGGTTTATTGTATCACAAATCGTAGAATATATAAAACACTTTTTTTTTTTTTTTTTCTCTTTTAATTTTATCTAACGCAACCCATTTATCATAATAATGAGCAGCAATGAAGATGCAAATCGAAAAATTGGCGG